TCACTGTCTGGTCTTTCCCCATCCTTTCTGAAGGCCCAGAACTGGTCACAGTAATGCTGATGCAGCCTCACTAGTGTCAGGCAGAGGAGGTGGTAAATTCCCATGTTCTCCTGGCACTACTTCTAGTGCAGTTTGCCTTATTTATAATTAGCCAGTGCTGCAGGCTCATGTTCAGCCTGGTGCACCCGTTTTCCCCGCATCTTTTTTTCAGCAGAGATGTTGCTCAGCCAGTGGGTCCTCAGCCTGAGGTGGTGCTTGGGATTGCTGTACTTGGGAGGAGAGCTTGTCACCTTTACTAATGGAAGCAGTTGAACTCTTTGTCTAAGCCTCTCTGCCTGAGAGTCCTTTCATCATGGCAGCCTTCCCCTAGAGAAGTGTCATCTGCAAATCAAGACAGATGAGAATTGCAGTGGAGCTTCTGAGGAGTGGGGATTTATGCCCACTGTTGACCTTCTGTCTGAATTAACACTGGTGGTTTTCTCTATGTAATTTTCAGGAAAGCATTTGGAGAGTGGGGTGAAGTATATCAGTTGTGGGAAGGGCATGTGTAAGATCTGTAGGCATGCCTGTCAGGCATGTGAGGCCTGTGTTTGCAAAACTCCACTGGATAAGTCCATGAGGAACTTGATCTGGCCATAGAGTTATCTTTGCGTCCCTTCTCACCTAAACCCTTTTGTGACTGTGTTGCTTAAGTAGAGTTTGTTCTCCTTTTTGTTTTGCTACAGTTGGACTTTGTTTCTGCTGGAGAATTTACAGTTCATAGTAGAAGAAAGTCTATTCAGAAATGCATTTTCTCAGAGCCTCACTTTCTTGAGCTGTTTGGAGCCATTTGCAGATGAAACTTTGCTGTTCTTACTGTCCTTAGAGATGGGTGAGAGAGGCAGCAGATAAATACAATGAAGGGAAAGAGCTTCAGGGAAGGAAAGAAAGAGAAGGTCTCGGGCAATAGATACAAGTGAGCTTTGGAGAACTGATGATCTTTTGAGGATGGCTTATGTCCAGTTGCCATCAGACTTCAGCAAGACAGGAACTATAAAAAAATAATGGAAAGAGACATGAAGTCAGCAGTGTGGACTGCGAGAAACCAGGCTGAGTCACTGTCCCATAGAAGAGATGATTACAGAATCCAATTTGGAAAGAAAACCTCAAGAAACTGCTAAATTTATTATCTAGAATCCTGTTGGATCTTGGGGCCAGGAAGAAGGAGCAGAAAGTATCTGAGCGTTTGATGTGATACTGCTTCCTTCTGCAGAGTTTTCTGCTGGGACTGGCAGAGGCTTATTCTCTGTGCTTTGTGTAGCTACAATGAGGCTGCAGTTCTGTCTGGTTTATTTATAATCCAGATGTCACTGTTTCAGTCTGTCCCTAAATAAATTATATGACTAGCAAAAGGTGTTATATGGTGGATAGAGAGAGATAAGGTAAATTACAATGCACTGTAGAGTAATATTTAAAAATGGGCTTTACTCTCACCTTCCTATTTGGAAAAAAAAAAGGAAAGCCCATTAGCTTTTGGTAACAGCTAAAATATTATTATTGTATTTGTAGCTTCCATTCTTAGTTGCCCTTTCTGAAAATGCACATCCCTGTTAGAGGAATGTATTTGACTAAGCAAATAGCACTACGGTTAACTTTTCGCAATAAGAAAACTTTTTTTCCCCAAGGAATTCCCACAGAATTACCCCTTGTGTTGCTTTCTTTGTTGCTTGTTGGTTGGTTTTGTTTCCCACAAACAGTTGTAATTGACTCCCTGCTGTGTCCAGTGTGGTTGACATCTGGTTATACCATTTCCAGAATATTCACTTGCAAGATTGTTCTAAGGAATGGGATCCTCAGAAGCCTGCTGCTGCTTCTTGTTTTCTCTTTATGTTGTAGACAGCTCATTTCTTACATGAGAAGGAAGAAAACAAATTTCAAAGGTTTTATTTCTATTTCTGAAGTAGATTCTTCTGAAAAGAAGCTGTCTATAAGCAATGCTTCCACCTTGTTTGACTTGGACCGAGTAAGAATTAGTGACTCTTATTGGGAAGGTCAGCTGCAAACCTGTGTCTGAACTGGCACCCTAGTTTGGAGCTTAGCATCATTCCCTGTATTTCTCCTATAGATATGTGACCTGGCTTGTGTTGAGGATCAGGAAATTAATGTAGATTCTGGACTCCTGACTTGTGGCCTGTGTGAGCTGGCACTGAGTATTGCTGACTTTGGCAGTACCTGGAGGTATCTGCTCAGCCTTTCAGAAGGTGGAGGCCAAAGCAAAGTGGAAGAGTTGTGTTACAGAATGATCAGCTCTAAGTCTTGTGCCATATCAGGATGTATGTGGTATGCAGAAGAGGAGGAGAATGGCATAGTGCTGTCATGGTCCCTTGTACCTTAAGGGAAGGGGATATATTGTGCAAGTGAAGAGGTAGTGTCCATGGGGAGAACAATATGTTGGTTTGCTTCCTTTTGGTTTGTGGACCATTTTGTTAATTTTGAATCACTTCTAGTTCATCACAGCCCTGACAGCTGGGAGTGCATGACAGCGTTAAAGAGAGTAGTGAGCAATAAACCTGTTTCTGAGAAGTGGATCCTCAGGACAGACTCGTCAGGTCCTATTATAGAAGTCAAGAGTCTGCAGTTGGCACCTTATTGTCTGTTCCAGCTTTGCATTGTTTGTATGAATATGGTACTGTAAGACACCAGCAGGGATTTCCCTTCTGCTGGAATCCAGAAAGTGAAAACTAGTGAGTGCAGTCAGGTCTTGGCTGGAAAAGCCGCTAGCTAGGCAGGGCAGGCGGGGGAGGCAGATTGTAAAAGCAGAAGTCGTGGTGTGAGAGAGTTCTCCAAGTCCGAGCTTGGCTTAGACACCAAGGTCTGATTCATGAACGTGCTATTTACCAGTCAGATGAAGACTTCTTGCAAAGGCCTGTCCTTGGGAGCTCTATTCACCCCTCTTGCTTAGCCTTCCTTTCTGAAGCAGCCATCTATGGGAAGGAGATGGATCTTCATCTACCTCTAATATGCAGCAGTGTCTGTTTAGGGCCATGTGTTCCCTCCCCAGATATAGTCAACGTGTCTGGATTTTGCTTTTGTTACTATGGGTGTAGAGCAAAAGGAACCCAGGAGAAGTGTTGTCTTGTATTAGACTTGTGAGCTGCTGCTCACAAAGTGAGTGAACAACTGCCTCATCTTAACCCCTGCCACCGTTGAGATCACCTACCTGCATTGTCATACTGTGGGACAGAGTAACCCGGGCTGATGCTTACCCTGTCCCACAGTTCTCTTCAGCCCTAGTAGTACTTTGAGCCTCAGACCTGGCCTGCCACAGTGTCACTCAGGATCAGATACAAAGATGTGCAGTATGTGAGAGAGTAGGAAAAGTCAAGGAGGATGGGAGGAAGAACAGATGGGCTTCTTCACCAAAGGTTAAGAGCTATACTGTGGGCTATATAGACTATGAGTACTGGTCTTGATAGACTCAGAAATCCTGAAGGCTGAAAGTGATCTTCAGCTTCTCCTCTGTTGTTAAGACACAATAAGGACTTCAAGAAACTCAAGCTCCAGGCTAATGCGTTCTGTACAGACCAGTTACACTACAAAAGTATGCTTTGGCTGGCATATATGTGTGAGTGTTCCTGCTACTGAAATGGGACAGCATTTGGAAGAAAAAAGACGTCCTCCCCATTTAAAGAAAGATCAGTGAGGCAGCAGAGTGAAGATGGAATCCTTCCATCTCTCATTTCACAGGTCTCTGAAGAATGGGTTATGATATCCTCTAAGCTGCAGGTAAAAACAGGGCTTAGGGACACTTTTACAATTCCCACTTCTTCACTTTCCTAAAAGTAAGCCCATGGTAAATTGAGATAGTACATGTTAAGGAAAAAGCTCCAAGGTCCTGGAAAATAAGGCAAAGAGTTTAGTCAGTTCATCATATACATTCTTCTGTACTTAGTGAACTCAGACTTGGCTACTTTATCCTAAAACCATTTTGTTTTGAAGCATTTAGAATAAACAAACTGGAAGTTGCAGCTGTGTTTACTTGACTACTGCCTTATTAGCTTCTTATCACATTTGTTGTAATATTAATAACAACTCTTGCATTTGAACCCTTGTGCAATAGGCAAGCCTGTCGCCCTTTCCCAAGACAGTGTGTATTCACGGGGGAGTAGGAATTTGTCATCTCTTGGCATTCCAGCATCTGAATTCTCTTATACTGTAACTACTTTTCTGAGTTTAAGAAGTGTTCTCTCCCTTGTCTGAAAAATTACCTATTTTAGGCTTTCTTGATGTACTTAAATACAAATGCTGCCATTTATGAGAATTCTTGATGTATAGCTAGAACTAGAAAGTTGCAGATTCCCATTAGAAAGGGGATCTAGTGGGATCGCCACATCAGCCATATGTTTATTACAGATGAGAGAGGAGTGGTAGGCTCATAGAACTAATGAATAAAGAGGAGGTAGGCATAGGAGGAAAGACCACCCTCAAACAGGCACGCAGAAGGCCTACTTTCAGTTCCCTGTTTTCTCCTTGTTTCTCACCAAATGACGTAGGTGCTCGTTCAGTAATACCTTTGGGTGCTTTGCCTGCAAAAGGGTCCTTTTCAGCTGGGGTTGAAAACATACCTTTTGCATTTTGCACTAGTTCCGTGTGCTATATCATGTGAGTGCCTAATGACAAACTGTGCTGGCTCCTCCTCATTCCTGATGTAAAAATTGATTTTTCAGTACTCAGTACCTTGAACAGAATCAGAACCTGGGCTGTTAGGCATAAAATAAAAGGCTACATATGTTAAATGCACAGAAGCTACATAAAAGCAGATGTGATGTGTCCTAAATTTTCCACGTTTGATATTGCGTAAACATTTTATTTGCTACTTAATGTGTGCATTTTTATCCCTGTGCTATAATTTAGTTCTTGTTGTTTTCCAGTATCTTCCCAATCACTGGGAGCACAAACTACTTCCTCCTGCTCCGTGTGCCATGCTGTTAAAAAATATCTGTTATTCATTATCTTTTCAGGTTCAAAGTAAACAAGAGAAGAAATCTGGAACTTCACCCCCAGTGTCTTTGAACTCTGCGGTTAGCTCTTGCACTGTTCTGCCTGTGAATAAAGCCACCAGCAGTACCCCTTTGTCCATAAACATTCCACGTTTCTACTTCCCTAAAGGACTTCCGAATGTCTGCACTAATCATGAAGAAACCATTGCCAGGATTGAAGAAGCCTTTACAGAGTTTGAAAACGAGAAAGCAAACATCTGTGAAATGGGGAAAATTGCTAAGGTAACTGTTCTCTAGGGTTTTAATTTTCTGAGAGACAGACTGAAACTAAAGGTAATAAAGTATCTCATAGCTGTTCTCATTTTTGGGGGGGAAGAACCAATATCCTTTTGCTCTGAATCATTTTGTTTAGATTAAGAAAATAGTAAACAAAAAGGAGCTCAGTTTGCTGTTTGCCACACCTGATGTGTATGCTCTTTCTTGCTTTGATTTGCCAAATGGCTCTTAGATTTCTTGCAAAATGCAAATGGCATTTTTGTTTTTCTGTTCCTCCATAGTTATGCTCAAGTGATAGTAGAAACTTAGCCTCTTCAGGTAGTGCTAGCTAACTGCTTTGTGATTAGCTGCCCCCACTGATCTGGCCAGGAGCTGTGTGTCTCTTGCAGTGTTGCTTGAGAAGGCCATTTGCAGCCTACAGCCTCCTTGGATGCAGAAGAGAAAAACACTTAGCCCTCGGCCACTGAGATCTGTATGCTCAATATCCATAACTCAGGTGTCAGCAGACTTGGAGTAGCTACAGTCTGCTAATGAGTTCCTGGCTTCAGGGAACAAAATGCAGCACTTGTGTGGGAGCATGATGCAGATGGGTAGTTTTATTTTCCTCTCCTTCATCCATGGTTTTTAATAATGCTGATCTAAAAACTAGCAGTTGTCAGACACATTTCATATGTTCAGTTTGCTCTGAATGCGTCTTTGGCACTGTAGATTGAGAAATGAAGGTTCTGTCGAAGAGAAGCCCTTTTCTTCCAAGAGGGAAGATTTTCTGAAAGGAGAGACTGGGTTGGTTTTTGTTTGTTGGTTTAAGGAATCCAGGGGCATTATTTGTCAACTATCTCTGGAAAAAAAAACAAACAAGTTCTTTACTCAAGCCAAAAAAAACCCAAAACAAATAAATAAAAAAACAACCCAAAACATTTGAAACTGATTTTATGGCAAGACGGGTAACTGAGTGTGGCCTGTGATATTCAAACTGAGAAAAGCAGGATGGTGATGTAGAAGAGACCTCTACCTTTCTGTCTAGTCTCTGCATCTGTCCCTATATGAATATACTCCATGCTATTTAGCTATTGTAAGGCTTGTTTCTGTTCAGTGGGATTAGCAATAATGGTACAAGTTTGGAGGCTTTGAAAGAAATGCTACAAAAAAAACCCCAAAACAGCAGAAAGTAAACGGGCTGTTCTGGGTGGAAGACACCACACTGAAAGCTGTGAATTTTCATCTTCAGGCATTTAATCATTAATTGTCTATAATCAGGATTGAAGTTTCCTTGCTGTCAATAAGAAGTCAGCTCATATAGAATGGGTCATCCTTTTCTAAGGCAGGTCAGTGAGGTAGCTCGTATGAGTGCCCTTCTGGAAGGAGGTACCTGTTTTTTTTCCACTGTGCCAGGTATCCTGCTGAAAATTCAGTCAGAGACAGATCTTAAGATCTTGATAGTCTCTGATCCATTTCCTAGCCTCACAGGATGTTTTTCTCAGCTACTTAAAAAGGCAGAAAGTTTTTGTTGGATTCTGAACCTTGGCATACAGTAAAGAGCTTTTTGACCAACGTGTGTGCCTTACCACTTCCTTTCCCTTATGTAGAAGGGTTGATGATGAATTCAGTGTGTAAACAAGCAAGCTCCTCCGGTGATTGCTATTGTATTCCTCTTTCTTCTGGTGTTTTATTACAGATATGTGGCTGCCCACTCTACTGGAAAGCGCCTATGTTCCATGCATCAGGAGGAGAAAGGACAGGATGTGTACCTGTACACTCTTTTGTATCTATGTGGAGAAAGTGAGTATAGCAAATGCAGAGTTCTCTTTCTGGAATAAGAACAGCCTACCATGAAAGTCTTTCTTGTTCCCCTTTCCCCTCACACCCTTCTCTTTCCACCAGACTTTTCAAATCGCTGTCTTTTTTTTAGAAGAAAATAAGTGGCTTAAAAATCTCTATTGGCCCAAAGTTATTTTATATGCCAGCTGTATGCCTATAGTTGACATATAAAATATACTAATATGCTCTCTAGAAATAAGTCAGCTATTCTGAGATAGCTGATAGATGTCAGTGGATTTTGGATATATTTCTCTCAGGCCTTATGTGTGTCCTGCTACATTAATGCAACTGAGTGAGTGCTGTTTGGGAATGGGAAGAGGAGGCATGTGATAATGTTCTAGGACAGGAAGAAGGAATGTAAAATCAAGAAGCATCATACAGCTGAAAACTCTGGGAGCTTTAGTAATTACTCCTTTTCTCAAGCATGCTGTGTAGTAAATCCTTGGAGTTTGACAGTCACTTCCATATATCTTTGCCAAAGCTTTCCATATATCTCTGTCAAGGCTTCTTTTTGAAATTGAGAGCTCTGGATATAGTGTACTTGAAGTCAGAGCTGTGAGATGGAACAGGCTTATTCTTTTGCCTAATCTTTTTTTTTTCACTCCAGGACTATTCAGTCTACTTTGCGAAACACCTGAAAAATGTCTACATCTCATGTCTAGAGAGAGTTCTAATTTTTCACTTAATAGTTTGCTCTTCAGATTCTTAAAGTAGCCTTTAACCCTGGGTTCCCAAAGTATTTCCTGTGATAATATTGTCAAAACAGCTTCTAGTTACCCTGGCAAAATGTCAAAAATGTTTGGGGTGACTGTGATCAGTAAGTTTTCCTTGACATAGCCAACATTTTTTCCTTCCTTAGGTTCTTCCAATTACTCTTAATTAATCCCTCATGTATGAAACTGCATATTTTCACTCCTCTGATTTTCACATCCTTCAGATATTTGCACACTGTGGTCATGCCCCTCTTCTGTATTCTCTTAACCACACCATTCCAAAGACAAGTTTTTCTCACTGTAATTGCTATAAGGCAGCATTTTTAAAAGTCGGGTTACTTAGTATGTTACTGTGAATCAAAGTAAGAACAGTCTTCAGTAGGAAACTGTGTTTACCACTGCAATGTTAACATGAAAAAAGCTACACTGGCTGGAAGTACCTTGGTGCTGCTGAAAGATACTGAAGAAAATGGGTGCTGGTAGTCTGAGGTCAACTTTGCATCATTCACAGTGTAGAAGTATGATGTAATGCAGAATCACAGAATGGTTTGGTTTCTAAGGAACCTCAAAAACCATCTAGTTCCAGCCCCCCTGCCATGGGCAGGGACACCTTCCAAACATGTAATAAGGCACTTCATAATCAGTCTGTAGTTCATTATTGTCATGCCAAGTACTCCTGTGTAGTTGCAGTAACCTTCTCTCTCTCTCGTAGAATCCTATGTAACTGCCATGATGATGCATCCAGATTCACATCCCTTTTAGCAAAGCCCAGCTGTGACTACCTAGAACAGGAGGACTTCATCCCACTGCTTCAGGTACCTGCAACAGCTTGGCAGTGAATGGATGGGGAAGCAAGCTGTGTTTATTTTCTAACTACTTCATTTTCATGACTTCAAATCTTTACAAAGGAGCTGCAGACCTTTGCTTTTAACAGCTCCTTGATGAGGTTTATTTTGGAGTGAAATAGAAATAAGCATTTAAAGTGGACTGTTTTGCAAAAGTGCCAGCCAACTACATGTCTTGCTGTAGTCACTGAAGATTGTCAAAGCTTTATTTAGTCTCTTCTTAGGATTAATATTTATCAGTATCTGGTAACCAGTCTGAAAATTGACCCATTTCCCTAGGTGGTTATTGGGGAAAATGCATGGTGCTGTTGATAGTCAAGCACAACATGAAAGCTTATTAGGAAAGTTGTAAAATTTGCTTGATGAAGACCATTATAATTGAATTTGTGTAGTAAGACTCTCAGTTACAATATGTGGAAATTTCTATTTTTTTTTCTGTTCCAATTGTTCTGTATATGCCTCTAAACCTGCTAGTACACAAGTCTCAGCACTAATTTATCGTTTCCTAATACTTAGGCTAAGTATGTGCATCCTGATTTAATTTCTTTTCCTCTTATTCACATGTGATATTTTTAACAAAGCAGAGTATCATTCTTTAATTATTTGTGGCCATTTAGGCAGGTTCTGGATAGGTTTCTTCATGTTTTCTCTATAAATCAGGTCCATCTGCTCCGCAGATAATCTGTTGATACTTTTTCTGAGCTTTCCCACGTATCTGTAGGTTTCTCACGTTGTGCTGCCCTCTGTACAAAACGTCTGAGGAAATGCTGCTCTGGGGAAAGGTTTTGTCTGCACTGAGTATTTCTGTGTCTCAAAACCAGGACTGTGATGGGTATATTTTCTCATGTTACTTTTATCTTTTCTCCACTGGGCACGCTGCCTTTGCTGATTGCAGCTCTGCTTTTTAGCTACTGGTGCAATCAAAGGCATGCACAATCCTGTTTGTCAGTCAACCAGAGACTAGCAATATTACACCATCATATTAAACATCAAGTTAGACTGCCCAGTATTTGGTCATGTCACACCCCTAAGGGCACTGTGTCTGCTTTATCCCTTTGCCATGTTGTGCAATGGACAAGTAAAACTTTGAACACTTCTTTAAAGGGTAGAGGAGCCACACATAGAAATTACACAAATATTGATTCATACAGGATCTGAACTGATTCATTCATGGCCTGAGCAGTTTATCTATGGCCTTGGTCATGTATTTGACTTGAAAAAGCTGATCTTGAGAAAGAGGCATTTCTAAAGTAGTTCAAGTTGGAAAAGCACTGATCATATCTGTATGCATTCTGAGGCTCACAGGAGCTTTCATTGTTGTGGAGAACAGTAAAGGTAACTTTCTCAGCTTTTCAAGGAATGTTTATTTCTGACATGTAGCTTTAAAAAATGTTAATATCTTCAATGAATGGAGGAAAAAGATCTTGGAAAGGAGATAGTTGCATGGTCAACTAACTAATTTTTTGTCTCATTCAATGAAAATGAGTTTTCATCTGCTCACTAATTCTCTTCCTTTGTTTTTCTGTCCTTAAGTAAATCAAAATGGCCCAACAGGTGCGTATTGCCCAGAAAATGTATTCTACTTATAATACTAGAAGGTTATAGATAAAAGATGTCATTTTGGTTTTACTGTTAATGTTGCAAATACAGTTTTGAAAGTAAGCACAAGTATCAGTATGTAAACCCAGTAACTTCTAAACATTAAAAGGAGAAGAAAATCTATTTCATTTTATTTGGTCTTATGTTGCAGGATGTGGTGGAAACGCATCCTGGCCTGACGTTCCTGAAGGATGCTCCGGAGTTCCATTCACGGTATATTACGACGGTAGGTTGGCTCCTTTGATCTCCTATGACACCAACCCTCCCATTGTGATTTGTCACTGTTTCCATCAGTGAATCCTTGGGTTGTTTGGGTTGTTTTTTTTTTTAAAGGTGTTTTTAATATTATTGGCAATGAGTTATGTGAAGAACTGCTTCCAAAAGCAAAATGAATCTGCCTGTGTGTACAAGAGGTTATTCAAAAGGTTAATAATGATTTTCTGGTCTTAAGCAAATCTATGAAAACATCTTCTTTGGCCTTTAATACTCATGAAAGAAGATGAGATGTCCTCACTTGGTCTTTAAGAGTTGCTAACTTAACCCTAATTCTCCTGGGCTGTGGAGATGTGGAGGGTTGTATGCTTGAAGATTTCTGTCACTCAGACCTGAAGAATCTGTGCTTGTTCCGTGGTACAAAGTATCCACTGCATTCAGTGGTCTCCTGAGCAGTCTCCTGCCCCTTGCTCTTGCCAGAAAGCCTATCAAGTCTGAGTCTTTGAAATGTCTACTGTTTGTTGTTGGGCTTTGTTCTGTAGTTTTGTTCCAGTGTTGCAGGCATCAGTTAGACTGTTACTTTACGGAATAAGTTGTACTTTTTCTAAGCCTTTAGCCTGTCTCATATCGAGTATAAACCTGGTAAAAAGTATAAATGATAGACCTGATGGGAGCTGTATCCCAGCAGGGCTCTAGATCTTAAGGCTTCTCCTATTTGCTTTGAGGTCTGCATGGGGGCCAGCTGCACCATGTACTGGCAGCTGAGAGATTACTGACAGACACAGGCTTGTGCCTGTCATTTAAAGCACTGATGGTGGAAAGACACTGTTTTTTCTGGGTTAACCTTGCTGTCACACTAATATTTTATGAAAATGCCTGACAAGAAGCAATTCTTAATGTTTCAGATGCACTTGAACCTGACAGTGAACATCTGTATATTATCAACATATTTAGTCCCTGTGGAGCAAGGCAATAGATATATTAAGCATAGTAACCGGACAGAATAGGTATAACAGTGGCAAAGGGATTAGAGGCACATGAATGGGTGAGTGGCACGTGTACCCTTATATGTGTTGCTTAAAGTGAAGGTGAGAGCTGAGAGATTTAAGGTCGCACTAGCATTGGTTTCTGACTGCAGTATCAACCAGTTGTTCTTTGCTGGTGAGTGGGTCATGACACAGTGTCCTGTTGCTAGCTGTTTGCTGGTGACAAAGACATTTCTGTGCATCTGCCTTTCGTCTTCTCAAGTCATATGCTGTTTCCTGTATATTGCAGGGTCTAAATGAGGGAATAAAGGCAAGAAACAAATATCTTTTTAGAGTAAGCCCTACATGATCACCCTTGCTGCACTTTTTGGACCTCATTGGGATGCAGTGCATGTTCTGATCTGAGAGACCAGCTGTGTGAAGCTGAGGTTCCACTTCAAGATAAGTGAAGTGCAGGCTGCTACTAAAAACAGCAGCACCTTTTTCTTCCTTTTCTTTTCCACAACTTCCCTTGTGCCTGGCCAAGGTCCTGTGTGACCATCACAAAGCAGTCTCAGAACCAGACCATTCATGAGGATGTGAAGCTCCTTAGTGCTTCTTGATTGTGGTTGTCTCTCCACTGAAGAGTTGGAGCCTTCAGGTACCGTCACTCACAATACTCTGACAGAGGTGACTTCCTAGGCTTGCTCCCATGGAGACAGGAAACTTATGGTTGAGTTGGAGTTGAACACATATAGCAGCAAATCTTACAAAGCTGAGAAGTCCCTTTAGACTTCTCACACTGGCAGGCCAGTGCTGTTCCGGGTGTCTGTGCGAACAAACAGATTCCTTCTGAGCTCAGTGTTTGGCCTCAGGCAAATCACTGAGTTGGAGTCAAGACACTGGGAGACAGATGGTCTGTTGGGTCAGGTTGTTGCCATGTGGAGTGGCAGTACTTGGCCCATTGCAGCAGTGGCTCTCCTCTGATACCAGGAGTTCCTATTTCTCACATCTCCTTTCACAGACAGTTTGGCACTTTTGTCTCTTCAATATTACAAAACTCAATATTTCCACCAGGAGGTAATGAAGGAAACAGCTTTGTCCTTGGATTTTGAGACTACTTGGATTCTTTGATTCCTTCAAGGTAGAGTGCCTTATACCTACTTACACTGACGGAATGCTATATTTGCTGCCAGTGCAAGAGTTTAAGTTTATTTTTGTGTTACAGAGAAGGGCTGTAAGGAGACTGACTTGTGTGTCCATTGCTGGATACAGCATCACTTGATTGAAATCACCTGGAGCATAAGCTAGCAGTCTAGTATGGGTAAGATGTGTATACATGCTTCTTTTTGCCTACTTCTGCACCTTTTAGAGGCATCTTTTGGATACAATAAGCTGTAATTTACCTATATCAGTATCTGTGAGCTGTTGTATTGCCAGTGTGCTAAACTACTTGTGTTTGTTTCAACAGAGACAGACTCCTGAAGCTGGTGAAAACAGTGCAGAATATCTTGTGGCATTTACTGGGAAACCTTTAAAATGTGACTTTTGGCAGAATGTTCAGACAAGACTCTGAGTTAGCACTGCATGCTGTTGTTGAAGAGCTGAATCAACTAAAAACAGCTTGGCAAAACATACTGGTTGTTGAAAAATGTTTGGCTTACGCAGTAGTACCAATGTGAATGTGTAAGGGGAGGGTTTAATAAAGTTTCATGGCTTTTTCCGGAAGTGGTATTGTTTTTGTTCTTCAGTGGGAAAATTGGGGGAATGTCTATAACTGACCTATCAACGGTTTGGGTCCTGGAGGTAGATTACATGAGGATAATGGTTAAATAGGAAGGGGTTCTCCCTTCCAAAGGCTGTTGTACTGAGTTCAGAATAAATAATCTTTCATGCTGGGGAAAATGAAGCTAGTTCTGGCTTTCAGTAAGGTGTAAGGCTTGAATGCTGGAGATCATCTCAGGCAGTGTAACTGTATTATAGGATGTTTTCCAAATGCTATTTTTGACAGCTTAGTTTTCACAACCTGAAGAAGAGAGGTAGTGACATTTTTCTATTGAAATACACACCATGTACTGTATATTGAAATTGGACCATTATTTGAATAATAAAGGATGCACTGAGTGACTTGCCGTGGTAAAAGATGAAAGAAGATTCCGTTTTACCTCTGAATGCTTTACCCCTAAATGAGGACAGAGCAGCTGGAACATCTGTATGAATATGATCTGATAAGGGAACTGTTTCTTAGATGTCATAAAGGGGGATATTTTGTCTTTCCTGAAAGCAGAGGAAAAAAAAAATGCTGGTTAGGTGTCCTTTTTCTGATTCTTGGGCTTGTTATTTTTGAGTCCTTGAAATGGTGTGAAAATGGTGCATCTTGAGGAATAGCTGCAGCATTGTCAGGTGTGATAATATGAGGTGAGGCCTATTTCAGTCTCTGGGATCTTGTGCAATCTGGAAGTAAAGGCCAAACGAAGTACAGTAATGTAGTCCAGAATGGCAGGGACTGCCACAGACATTCAAAAAGAAACAAGCATACAGGTTTTTTCATTGTGCTTAAGACCAGAAAAGATCATTGTGATTACCTACTCTGACCTCTTGCATTACACAGGCCATAGAACATTACTCAATGACTCCTATAGTTAGGTTTGCCTGTTTGTTTTTAAATGAATTGATACCTAACTCCAGAAAGACATTCATCTTTGAGGTCTGGAGTGATAGTCTGCAGCGTTTCCTTAGGACTGGTCCCAGTGGTTAATCAGTGGCAGTGTCAAAGTAATACACTCTTATCTGTCTGAATTAGGCTGATCTCAGCTTCTATATTTTGTGAGACCAAAAGTGCTCTTGCTGTCCCACATCTCCACATGTAGGCTTTCAAGGACCAGAATAGTTACCAATAGGTGTCATGTTAATCTAATTTGAATGTATTAGTTCTCTCTCTTGAGGATACATTTTCAGTCCTCAAATCATTCTTGTTGCTTTCAAAAATCATGTGCTCATCAGCATTTACTGGCTTACTGATCTGTGTATCCCAAAGCAGACTGTTAGCAGCAATCTCATACTTGGTTCCACATCCGTTCTGGACTAAGAACCAGCACTTGTGTGACTGAGTCAAAAGCATGACCCTTAAAACAGTGATTGCCTACTCAAAGCTAGCTGTAGTTATGAAACAAATCCATCCCATTTAGTTTAACTGGCTTAATCTCTATAGTGTCCATATTGTTGTGTAAAATTAATTTGCATGTTGGAAAAGCATGCATTATTATTAAGGTTTACCAAGAATTTTTAATAGTATGTCAACTTGATATTGGAGACATCAAAGGCTTGTTTGTATTTGGTTTCATCAACAAGAACTCTATTCCATATCTTTCAGTGCTGATGGTCAAGTTAATTATATTTCTAATTTTTCTTGTTGAGTAAATTGTTGATTCCTCCGTTTATTCCTGCATGTGCTTGCTTGCTTGATCACACATTACTTTTTCCCCACTGTGATATTTGGCAAGCTAGCAAAGAGCAGGCTATTCAGGGTTCAGCTTACTTTCTTTAGGTGCTTGGGAGTGTACTGTCTCTGACTATGAATTGTTTCTCTTGGGTTCTCATAAGTCTGTGTATTTCCCCCCATGCTTTTTACTTTCACCAGAGGCAGATCAGTGAAGGAGACAAATGAGGCTGACACCTTCCTAAGATAAATGCAGAGAGATAATCCCTGTTGCTTACTTTCAGTGGAGCCACAGAGAGGATGAGATATTGTTATAGACACAATAGGTCAGACATCAATTGTGGCTTTCATTTACATGTCCTGTTTCCTCTTCTAAAGTCCTGATTTTTTTTTTTGCTTGTGCAGAGCATTCAGTTGAAATCCATGCAAACTACAGTGCCTGAAACCTGAAAAACTCTATTTCAAAGTGATTTGTCAGCACTTTAAATGTATTTCCTGACATAAATAATGCATCTGCATGCTCCGAGGTGTGAACTAAGACTGGTGAAAATATTTGCAAAGTCAAAATGGATAATACTGTTTCAGAAACACATGTGCCTTTCAGACTGCATGGGGAATTAACGATAGCAGTAGCTACAAAAAAGACCACAAAGTGATTTTCAGAAATAGTTTCCCTTAAGATGAGTGAATAAACAAAGTTTCTGCATTTATGTTCCCAAACTGGTTTATTGCAGGAGTTGACTTCAAGAGCACTGTTCATGTGTTACAGGTGATACAGAGAATATTCTACACAGTCAACCGATCCTGGTCTGGGAAGATCACTCTAACAGAGCTGAGGAAAAGCAACTTCTTGCAAGTATGTTGGTTTATGCCTGAATAAGATATGGAATGCATCAGATCTTTGTACCTGTAGCTCTGTATTATATAGCAAGGGGGCTGTGCCTGGCGTGTAGTGAGGTAGGCCAAATGCTCAGTGCCAGGAGATGGCTGAAGGTGGTGGAGGATTTCTGTCTGAGTTGAGGTTGGAGAAGACCAGTCAGGCTGAGAGAGATGGGCTTGTTCAGCCTGAAGAGAAGGTTCTGAGGAGACCTTATTGCAGCCTTCCAATACCTAAAGAAGCCTAGAAGAAATCTGGAGAGGGACTTCTTATAAGTGCATGTAGTGACAGGACATGGGGGAGTGGCTTTAAAGTGACAGAGGGGAGATTTAGATTAGATACTGGGCAGTTTTCCTTGTGAGGGTGCTGGGGCGCTGGCACAGGGTGCCCAGAGAAGCTGTGGCTGCCCCATCCCTGGCAGTGCTCAAGGCCAGGTTGCAAGGGGCTTGAAGCAACCTGATCTAGTGGAAGGTGTCCGTGCCCATGGCAGGGGTTTGGAACTGGAGGAGCGTTAAGGTCCTTTCCAACCCAGACCACTCTGGGATTCTCTGACTGGAGTAGCCAAGAGTGCACTTGATGGAAGGTCAGGGGCGACTGTGCACCCACTAAACCTGCATCAAGCAGATTGGCTCTTGGCTCCTGACCCAGCCAGAGAGGAAGGGAAGCAAGACACAGCAGTGCACTATTTTTAAGTGGCTCATTGAGCAGCCAGGAATAGCTGCTGGATTGCCTACAGTAGGTGGCAGGTAGGACAGCCAATTTCCTGACTTACAGCTAGCAGTCAGCCCACTTGACAGTTGGTCAGGTATGTGTCTCAGGAGCAGATCTCCACTTCTGCAGTAGACTCCTTCAGAAAAGTTAATAAATGAAGCTTGGTTCTTGTTACAGTCCCTGCGATAATGTTGTTATGTTGGGCAGATGCTTCAGGATTTGGATATCTGTTCCCTGTGTACTTTGCCAAGAGAGTACCAGCTTAAAACTCTCTAAGGCTGCTGAAGTCCAGCCCAACCTAAAAGTCATTAGGCTGAAAGGTTAAGGACTCAGCTAAAGCAGTGAGGCTTCCCTATTGCATCCTGTTCTCCCTTCCAGATATAGTATGCTGGCTTCCTCAAAAACCTCAAGTATGACTTCACACTCCTCCTTTGAGACATAATCTGCCCCACTAATCACATCAGCTAATGGAGACAGCAGTGCTCTCTTGAATTGTCTCATGCCAGTCCAAGCTCTCTGATGCTAGTTACTCCCTAGACTCTGCTACAAACAAATCTTCCCAACTTATCCTGCATCTTTATTCACTCATTTTGTCCCTTTATGCACTCTTCCCATTTTTCTCCTTGCATATCTACTCTTTCATCTCCTGCTTCAGGGAAGTTCAGCTAAAGGAACTTAATTTTGCTTGGGCAGTTCTCTGCTGTGTGTAGATGGCATATTTTGGCATGAGCTATGAAAGAAAAAAGAAGAAAAGAGCTGTTGAAAAACCTCCCCAAGTGGTTATCACCTGCAGAGAAATGGAGAGACCAGTGAGGAATCTGAAGAGACTAGTGAGTGATTGATCAGAAGTTTTTAGACTTGAGAACCAGCAAGCCAGAGCAGTACATGTGGTAATGCTTGAAACTTCACTAAACCTTGTGGATAGCAGGATGTGAGAGTTTTGTTGAGACTCAGTTGGGCTCCTTGAATGTCAAGATGACTGAAAGCTGATGTTAACTATCAGTACGTACGTATAGCACAGCATCTGTTTTTGTGGTTATGGATAGAAGGGCCACTAAGCCTGCCTGCTTAGAGGCACAACTTCCTGGGATATAGCTCTTGGGCTGTGTTTCACCTCCTTCCCTCTGAGGGGCTGTGAGGGGAGGACGGAGTTACACCTCACTGGAGTCTGTTAGCTTTTATACATTCGTGCGGCCATAATTTATTAGACAGAAAATGTGGTCTGGTATCCTCTGCACTAGGAGAAGGGCAAGCAGGGAGCTGGCACTGGTAAACATGCAATATCATCATGAAATGGAAGAGCAGATTTTGATGCGAAGTGGGAGTGAAACAAGGAAGTTGTCTCTAAATGTTTTCTAACAAGCCATGCTAACAGATGTCATGGCTGGAAGTCTGTCTAAGCTTTCCAGTTAAACCAGACTAATTCCTGCCAGGTGCAGCCCAGGAAAATCAGTGTGATTCGTTTGAGCTGCTTGGGATCCATCCCTCCTTCCCCAGTTCAGGCATGAGTCTGAAGCAAGACTTGATTTTGCCCTTTGGGAGCCAGGCAAGGATGTGTGATGTGTAAAGATGGATCTCAGTTCTTGTGGAGAATTATGGACTTGCTGCTGTAAATGGCTTTAAGAGTCCTTGGTGCAGCTTTGAAATGTTCCACAAATAATGGATCCCAGCTGAGACAGCATTTGTGTTATTTCTCTGCCTCACTTTTCACTTTAGCTGAAAATTAGCAGAAATTGTTCACAGGAGTGGCAGAAATATGGTGCATATGTATGTGTGTATGTATATATACACACACACACTAACCGGGATAACTGAGCCAGATGCTCTGTAAGTGCCTCTTAAGGAATGTAGCAGCAAAATCTCCTACAGTGGAGAAAGGCTGTATTTTTGGATTAGCCCTTGGAGCTGTGTTCACCCAACTTCCCCAGAGGTTGGAGGACTTCAGCTGCTGAGCTGCCTCTTTGTCTAGGTTTAACTTCCCACTTTATTTGTACTCTTTCAGACTCTTGCTCTCTTGGAAGAAGAGGATGACATAAATCAGATCACAGATTATTTCTCCTATGAGCACTTCTATGTTATATACTGTAAATTCTGGGAGCTGGACACTGACCATGATCTTTACATCAGCCAGAAGGATCTGGCTAGGTACAGTGATCAAGGTATGCTGCCTGCAAGCCGTGGTGGAATAAAGGGGATGGATGAAAATAGAATGTTCCCACTAAAGAGTAAACCCTAGCTTTAATTTGGTTGATTTGATGCCTCAAAAAAAATCTAAATGGAGCCATCCATTTCTTAAACAAATGCTGATTTGCAGAGCCAGTTGTATGGGCTTAGACACAGAGACATGCAGTACGAGTTATTTTCTTCATGAGCAGCTAGAGAGGGAGTTTCTGTTCAGGTGTAAGCCACTGCTAGAAGTGGAAACTAATATCATATCTTGAAGCTTGCTTATTATTTATTAAGGATTTTGCTGCAACTTGGAAGTATGGAGAAGGACAAACCCATATGAACTTCAGAGACTGCTGAAGTGCAGTCTCATTATGCATGAGAAATACTCCAGAGTCCAGTGAAGCTGTTAAAACTTTAGGATATAATGTCTTGGACAATAGCTTGAGCTGTTCACCAGCACCTTTAATCCTGAAGACGAAGCTTTCTTGGATTCTTTTTGTAGTAGCTGCATTTTTGGGGAAAGTAGGTCTAGGACAGAGAATCAGATTGGGGAAAATGAGTTGTGAACACATGTGACTGGCTGTGTCAGGAAAGGTGAAGTATGTGGTGATCTGTTTTAGTATGTAGAGCTACAGGGAGCTGGGCGTGTGGTAAGTTGTAAGGCATTGCTGGAGCTCTGGGATGGGGACGCTTTGTACAAGCTAAGATCGTAGTGGGCTGAAGTAAGAAAGAAGTAAAGGGGTGTGAGAATGACAATGCTGTAGGGGTGTGTATATGTCAGAGTGGTGTGGTGGCCCACGTGTTCTGAGTGCAGATATTTATGGGAAGGCCATGGAGGTTCTGGGTGAGGGTGGCAGTTACAGGAGTCAGGAGCATTGATAATAGGGCTGGATGCGGTGAGGATGGACCTGACTTAGGGTAAGTGATATGGGAGACTTGGTCCCTGCTGGGAGGGTGGAGTGTGGGGATGAAGTATTTGTTGCACAGGAAGCTTGAGAGCACTGTGCACTGGGAAGCTGAAGACAGAAGGGGTGCTGTGGGCAGGGTGAAGGGGAGAAGCCATCAATTCAGTGCTACAGCAGCCTGTCAACACTATACCGGGGGGTATGAGGGGTGGTACAGGTTGAGTCTGCCTGGCTGGTGTGTCAGAAGTGTTCCAGGACTAGAGGACTGATGGAGAATGTGTAGAAGGAGCTAAGGTAGGGGTCTAAACAAAGGGTGTCAGTAGTCTAGGAAGGTAAGGTTAGTGCTCAGGACTTCTACTTACTGCTTGGCTGTTGTGTCTCTGACGTAACAATCTATAGCACACGTTTCTTGAATGGCAAAGCCTTCCCATTCACCTAAAACTATGCTTGGTTTCCATTGTGCTTCCCTGCAGCAGAAATGCCACAGCTTGTGTTCTGCAAAGAAGTGTTTTGTAGGGATTTATTGTGCGGTTTTTGCTTGATAACTGAACTTCTTTTGCAATACACAGTGAAATAGTCTCCTTCTATCAGGAGGATTTGCTTATGTGACAAATCCTACTGCAGCAAAGTAGGAGTAACAACACTGGCCATGTCCAAGAATCGAGACAAGACATTTGCCATATCTGTGGGAAGATAGAGTGTTTGGGGGGGGTACAAAGGCAGATACAATGCAAGAGTTATCTTTGGTTTTTACAAAATGCTGATAAAAAGAGACCATGAAGTGGTTAGACAGTATAGATAGAGCATTCTTTTAGCAGTGGGAAATGGCTTTGTGTAGATGCAGCATAAGCAACTGACTAGGTATTCCTGTGACCTGTAGCTTCATTTTCTCCATGTTTTCTTTGTTTCCAGCTTTATCAAACAGGATTATTGAGCGAATATTCAGCGGCGCTGTGGTGAGGTGAGGAATAGCATCCTGGCTGGGGATGGAAGCAAAGGGAATTTCTGTCAGGCTGATTAGAAATGCAGGATACCCTCAGAAATCCCACTGATCAGAATGGTTTCCAACATGGTGCTGCAGCTGCCTGAAAATGGAGTGAGACTTCTGAGTTTCTTAAGAAAATAAGTACAAAAATCCCATAGGATGACCACCTATAGACCTCATTGTGGAATGAGCTGGGCATAGCTGGAGGGAACATGGTAGCACTGTGTGTTTGTGCCCTGCAGTGGCACAGAGATAGCTGGAGAGCCCTGCTTTAAAGTAATTGAAAACTAAACAGCCCAGCACTTGTGAGAGGGGATGTGGTAGATGAGCCTCAGCTCTGCAGTGACAGCAAGGCAGCAAGTGCTGTGCCTGTGGGGAAGCACACAAAGATGGGTGTTGCAGAGGGCATGGAGTACATGTTAAATGGATGACCATGCCCCATTTTCTCTTATCAATGATTTGGAGCCTTTGAAAAATGTGTTTGATAACATCCTGAGTATTCAGGAGCCTGGTGGTTTGGGTTTGGTTTGGGTTTTTTTATAATTTTTCTTCATGTATCTTTCAGAGGCAATGAAGTTCAAAAGGAGGGCCGCATGAGTTACGCTGATTTTGTGTGGCTCCTGATTTCGGAGGAAGACAAAAGGAGTGCTACAAGGTCTGACTGATTTCTGTGTCTTAGTAAAAGCATTGATATGAGCAGATAAGAGTATACAAAAGTTCTGTGACCTGCTGCTTTCTACAAGAGATGGCAGCTTGGGTTCCAGTGATTATGAGGAAGAAGGCAACTTACTGTCAATGTTTGATCAAATAATTTGCCTTTCTCTCAGAGAAATTGTGTAGAAGCAGTTTTCTTTTAATGTTAAAGTGCCTTGGTAGTCATTAATCTCTTTGGACACTCCATGCCATGAAGCACTGGCTTTGAGGATAAACCCATGATATGTTTCCAGCGAATGGGCATGTTCCCTTCATGTATGTAGTAAATGTGTAAGAAGGGTTTGTAGGAAAACTTTGCTGTGTCACTTTGTAGAATCTGTCTATGTACATGGTTTGTACAGCCACTGCAAGACTTGTGCAGAGCTGAACTAGATCTGCTTGTGACTATGACAGGGATTCTTATGAGTGAAAATGAGAAGACAACTTTGTAAATGTTGGACTACCCAGAGGTGAAGGGAGGATGTAGCGTGCAGCTGCCTCAAAGCATTGCCTTCTGTATGAAGGAGAAAATAAGCGCATACCATGCCTGCCTCATCACTCACCAGGGTCACTTGGGGACAACCAGTGTCCTGGGTTTAGAGTTGATTGTATTTGGCCAGCTTTTGCCACTGAATCAGATAGGGACACATGAGCCACTTGAGCTGCAGCACAGTGGACACTTGCTACAGCTACCAGGTGAAGTACGTCATGAACATGGCTGTGCTCACAAGCTGCATAGGGAGGTTAACAGGAGATGCTTTTGAATGTTGGCCTACGTCTCGATTCTTCCCAAAAGGTATTTTTGTACCTCGGTTTTTGCCATCTTTTGTGCAGAAGGGGATTAGAGAATAAGAAAAGAGAAATGTGCGTTGCTGCAATCTCTGCTGTACAGATTTCCTAGTGCAGTGCTGTGCTTTCACTAGCCTTGTCTCTATTTCCTAGCATTGAGTACTGGTTTCGGTGCATGGACCTGGATGGGGATGGAGTGCTCTCCATGTATGAACTGGAGTACTTTTATGAGGAGCAGTGTGAGCGAATGGAAGTGATGGGCATAGAACCCCTGCCATTTCATGACTTGCTGTGTCAGATGCTTGATCTCGTTAAGCCAGAGAGGGAAGGTAAGTCCTGTTTAATAAGAGTTTCCATTCTATTTGATCTGAGATGAACTGAGAAAGTGCTAGAATCACAGGGCTGAAATTACTGCACAAGGTCAAAGTCTGAACACTGGCTATTGTCCCATGTTATGCATCAGGAGGTTTGAAATACCGAAACAAGAGACCTTGTGAATTAACTTCCTGGAACTGGAGCTACAAGTCTTGCATATTGCAGCTGTGGGAAGTGCTGACAGCTTAGATTATGAAACGGAACCATCCCCATTCACATTCTTTCATATTTCTCATGAATGTGAAAGACCTCCATGTGTATGTGCAATACAAGCCTAATAAACATACACATTTATTGAATAGTGTTAAAATCCTTTACTGACTTGGGAAGAAATGTAATATTATAGCATATTGGTGTTATAATTAAAACTTTTATGAGACTGACAAGGAACGGGTCCAGTCTCTCACTAAGTAAAAACTCAGCAGCACAATAATGTGGGGTTTCTTTTTCTGTAGGAAGAGTAACCCTGCGAGACTTGAAGAGGTGCAGAATGGCTCATGTATTCTACAACACCTTCTTCAATTTAGAGAAATATCTGGACAATGAACAGAGGGATCCCTTTGCAGTGCAAAAGGTATAAATCATCTTTATTTCTAAATACAGATTTCTAAAAATTTCCCATACCTGTACTGGGATGTAAGGGAAAATCCATCTTGATACAAGAATACTTTTTCCAAAAACAGGCCTGTCAGACACTGGAACAGGTTGCCCAGAGAGGTTGTGCAGCTTTTATTCTGAGGTTTTCAACATGTGACTGGACAAAGCCTTGAACCCCCTGATGTGACCTCATACCAAATCCTGATTTGAGCAGTGGCTGGGACTAGACAGCTCCTGGTTCTCATCCAACACAAGTTATACTACTATATAAATACATTTTATATACATACATATATATATATGTTGCAGTATATATATAGTTTATATATATATTCATAGAGTCATAGAATGGTTAGGGTTGGAAAGGACCTTAAGATCATCTAGTTCCAACCTCCCTGCCATGGGCAGGGACACCTCACTCTAAACCATATCACCCAAGGCTCTCTCCAACCTGGCCTTGAACACTGCTAGGGATGGAGCATTCACAACCTCCCTGGGCAACCTATTCCAGTGCCTCACCACCCTAACAGGAAAGAATTTCCTCCTTATATCCAATCTAAACTTCTCCTGTTTAAGTTTTAACCCATTACCCCTTGTCCTGTCACTACAGTCCCTAATGAAGAGTGCCTCCCCAGCATCCCTATAGGCCCCCTTCAGATACTGGAAGGCTGCTATGAGGTCTCCACACAGCCTTCTCTTCTCCAGGCTGAGCAGCCCCAACTTTCTCAGCCTGTCTTCGTATGGGAGGTGCTCCAGTCCCCTGATCATTCTCGTGGCCATCCTCTGGACTTGTTCCAACAGATCCATGTCCTTCTTATGCTGAGGACACCAGAACTGCACACAATACTCCAAGTGAGGTCTCACGAGAGCAGAATAAAGGGGCAGGATCACCTCCTTCGACCTGCTGGTCACGCTGCTTTTGATGCAGCCCAGGATACAGTTGGCTTTCTGGGCTGCAAGCGCACACTGCCGGCTCATGGTCATTTTCTCATAGACCAGCACCCCCAAGTCCTTCTCCACAGGGCTGCTCTGAATCTCTTCTCTGCCCAGCCTGTAGCTGTGTCTGGGATTGCTCTGATCCAGGTGCAGGACCTTGCACTTGGCATGGTTAAACTTCATGAGGTTGGCATCAGCCCACCTCACAAGCGTGTCAAGGTCCCTCTGGATGGCATTCCTTCCCTCCAGCGTATCAACCGAACCACACAGCTTGGTGTCATCGGCAAACTTGCTGAGGGCACACTCAATCCCACTGTCCATGCCAGCGACGAAGATGCTGAACAAGACCGGTCCCAACAGTGATCCCTGAGGGATACCACTCATTACTGGTCTCCAGCCGGACATTGAGCCATTGACCACAACTCTTTGTAATACAAGTTATACTACATATATACATATACATATGTGTGTACATATATATATATGTAGTTATACTACTACAGTTCTGTGATGTGGTTACCACCACTGATCCTACTACACCAGCACTGGCAGTGCAGTGTGTGATTCTAGAGTGAATGACCAGTCTGCTGAGTTGTGTTGATTCAATTTAGAGCAGGGTGGGTTCAGCTGCACTGGGAAGGAACCTGGTTGTCGTGGTTTAAGCCCAGCCACACAGCTTCTCTGTCACTCCCTCCCTTCCTCCCCCTGCTCCCAGAGGGATGGGAGGAGAATCGGAAGAATGTAACTCCCACGGGTTGAGATAAGTACAGTCCAGTAACTAAGGTACAACACAAACCCACTACTGCTACCACCAATAATAATGATAAGGGAAATAACAAGCAAAGAGAATACGACCGCTCACCACCCGCCGACCGATACCCAGCCTGAGGCAAGCAGCAGTCTAGCCTTTCTGGGTAACTCCCCCAGTTTATATACTGGGCATGATGTGCTGTGGTATGGAATACCTCTTTGGCTAGTTTGGTCAGGTGTTCCGTCTCTGCTTCCTCCTGGCTTCCCCTCCTCCCTGGCAGAGCATGAAACTCAGAAAGTCCTTGGTCAGACTAAACATTACTGAGCAACAACTAAAAACATCGGTCTTATCAGCGCTGTTCCCACACTGAAAGTCAAAAACACAGCACTGCACCAGCTACTAAGAAGGAGAAAAACGGCTGCCACTGCTGAATCCAGGACACTGATTCACTCAGTTTGGAAAGGAGCTGTGAGATTCAGAGCTTGAGATCCCATTTGTCTCTTTCCATCTCCCGTACACAGCTGTAGGCTACGCATGAAGTTCATTAAATACCTGGGCTGGTGCCTGATCCTTAACACTAGCAATTTTCCCGTAGCCTAAGCAGAACGGAAGAGACAGACCTTCTTTACAACACAGGAGCTGAGGCAGATGAGATGCCAGTTTCCTGATTGGGTCACACACGTGGCAGACTAGATGGAAGCTTTGAATGTTGCAGATTGTGCCTGGCTGCAGTTATTCATCATCCTCTCTTCCCAAGCAGAGAAAATACAGGAGGAAATTGTGGCTATAGTATTTTGAGGTTGTTGTTCACCACTGTGGGATATTCAGAGACCTGAGTTTTGTCAGCTGTTGGTGTAAAGTCCCTCATTTCTGGCTCCCCTTGCACATCCAGTGAAACCACATGTGACTACAGCTTAGAGACTATCTCCCAGAAGCCTCTTATCTAGTCAAACTACAGTAAAGTGAAGGGGGTGCCAAAATTAACTCTGGTTCCCTCCCAGCTGTTCCCATGTAATCTGTAAGAACTTTTGTGGTTCCATGATTCAAGGCTTAAATATATCTCAGGCCAGAACCACCCTCTTTGTTTGTTTGTTTGCTTGCTTAAACTGAATCATTGTAAGAGCAGTCAAGTGGGCCCTGGGGGTAACTTATTTTCCCCGTCCTGTAGTAAGTGGCAGAGAGCCAGATGTTTATAATGATGTTACTCTGATACCTTCTCACAGACTTAGTGTCCCGGTTTAACCCCAGCTGGGAGCTCAGCCCCACACAGCTGTTCATGCACTCCAACCCAGTGTGATGGGGGAAGAGAATCAGAAGAGTTAAAATGAGAAAACTCATGAGCTGAGATAAAGACAGGTTAATAGATAAACCAAAAGCCATACACGCAAGCAAAGCATACCAAGACAGGAAATTTATTCACTATTTCCAGTGGTCAGGCAGGTGTTCAACCATCTCCAGGAAGGCAAAGCTCCATCATGCCCAACTTGGGAAGACAAGCACCACCACTCCACATGTTCCCCCTTCCTTGTTCTCCCCCCAGCTTTATATGCTGAGCACAATCCCATATTGTATGGAATATCTCTTGGGTCAGTTGAGGTCAGCTGTCCTGGTTGTGTCCTCTCCCAGCTTCTTGTTGGGTGGTGTGAGGAGCAGAAAAGGCCTAGATTCTGTGTCAGCACTGATGAGCAGTAATCAAAACATCCCTGAATTACCAACACTGTTTTCATCACAAATCCAGAACATAGTCTCATACTAGCTCCTGTGAAAATTAACTCTATCCCAGCCAAAACCAGGATACTTAGCAAATTGTGAAGATTTCCTCAAAACATCAGTTAAAATTGACAGTTAAATAAAGATTTTAAATCACTAAGTACTTTAACCAGTTACAAAGTGCACAGATGCAGGGCTTGCTGTGCTGAAGCAAAGAAAATGTGTGGCTCTTCATGTTCAGCATTTCTGAAATGAAGTAGGCTGTTTATTGGCAGCTCAGGTCTGCTTTATTGACTAAGCAATGTATTTTTTTCATAGTCATTTATGGGCAGATGTTAAAATTAAGATAACTTTAAGATAATTGCGAATCTTTCAGTTACAGGCAATTTTTGATTAGCTGTTTCTGTATAGTTGCTTACTGTTCCTAGCATTGCTGTTTGCAGTAGGTCTTAAACATGTGAAACAGCTGTATGGACAGTGTGCTTGACTGTCTGATTTCTTTAGGACCTTGAAAATGATGGCCCTGAACCCTCTGACTGGGACAGATATGCTGCCGAAGAGTATGAGATTCTTGTGGCTGAAGAGTCTGGGAACGAACAGTTGCAAGAAGGGTAAGCACAGGCATTGCTCTGCCCTTGAGATGCACTCCTTGGCTCCAGCTGAGGGTTAGTAGTCTGTGGATGCCATTTTTAACAGAGGTTTATTGGACTTCTCATTTGAACTCAACACTGGAGCATGTGAAGCCCGAAACAATGGCTCCAGAAGGCAGTATTGGTGAGGTTGTCACAATGGGCTGCTTTGTGGGCGGCCATTTGAATCAGCTGCACATGCTGCAGTAATGAAGAAGCTGGGGAAAAGGACAAAGCCTTTTTCTTTTTGCAACGATACAAATAAAGCAATCAAATTACTTTGGCTGGTCTTGGCCATGCATTGACCATGTCACACTACCATAGATTAGAAGCTGGAGCTCTGTTACATTAATTATACCAAACAGATTTTCTTAAGTCAAGTAATTTTACTTTTGTCAAACTCCGTGTCTGTCAGCCTGTGCTCTTAGCTGTGTTTCAACATTTTAATTAATATGTTTGTTGAGATGTTTTCTTTAAAATACTGATGATTTCTGCAGTAAGTATAGGCTTTTTTGCAGCTGTCTATAAAATTATGGACAGATACTCCAGCTATCTTTAGAGTCAGTGAATTTAGACAGAGAAGTTGCTCCATAACCTCTCCATGTACCAGGGCTTCCTGCAGAGGCTTTTGATGGAGAGTCAGTACAACTGTCTTTTTGAGTTGCGCTTGTGTTAATATATTCTGGAGCACATTTCTCTGAAGTCTCAAGGTTAATATAACAAACATCCAAAGAATGCTTACCCCATGTTAATCTTGCATGATTCAGGATTTCATCCATTCTTGAACAGTATTTGCTGAGTAATTAGAGTACTGGGAAGATTGCCTACTTGTCAAATTTCCCCCACTGAAAACTGCTTGAGCTAACAGTAGCACCTACTAGTTAGCCACAGAGATTTGCAGTGCTATTGAGAGCAGTGTTTCGCTTTCTCCCTGTGATGTGCATCCAAACAGCTATGGGCTGTTCCCTCATCTCCTTTGAGCAGCCTTGCCTTTTTGTGGCCTTCACAATGGAAGATGAGGTAACATGGATGGAAGATAAAATTGCTATATTCCATGCAGCTGCTTTGCAACACCTGTGTCCTCAGCACAGGAAAGAAACAGGAATCTGCCATAAAAGCTTTGCAGGCTCATGAATCCCCAAGCTCACCAAAACCAGAGGAAAAGTGATACGTGATGTCAAATATTTGAAGTCTGTCTGAAACAGCTCTGTGTCTTCCTGTAAAGAGCATGTCAGCAACCTTGCTGCTTGCTTTTAAGAGCCCCTGGAAAGCTCTGTAGTCATGGCAGCAGGACTAGATCTCATTTGTGGAGCATAGCAACAGACCACACAGGAAAAAAGGAATGGAAAAGGAAAAACAAAGAGCTGGATGCCCAGACAAATTTGCCAGAAACAGGCATTGAGTTTTTGCACATACATTATTTCTGCTGTCTTTTGAGGATGACAAAAGCAGGGAGTGGTGACAAAACCAAGACAATTTATGAGCTCTATGATACCAGAAGATTAGCTGACAAAATAAGGAAACTGCTATTTGTCTTATTATTTGTATTAACTTTTGAAAATAGCCATCATTGAGCAATCACAGATGAATTGGTGTGTACCAAGCTTGTGACGTAGCCCTGTTCATAGTTTCTATGGATGGGAAGTTCTAAAGCCAGTCAGTGGCTGTCTGGCTGGCTGCAGGCTTGCCCATGTGTGAGCACTGGTCCTGGAAGAGGAATCTCATCAAGACATAGTGGATACTGAGTGACTTCAAGGTTGCTGTGACTCTGTTGAGAGCTGCAGTCACCAAAAACAATATGAGAAAGGCGTGGTCTTGCTCAAGACAATAATGAAGCATCATGTTCCACTGGAAGCTTAAGTTCATCTGAACACTTCTCAGCCATGCTCTGCTTTATACATCTGTGCATGAGATTCAGTGAAGAGAGTCTGTTCCCTCGTGAATGTACACACACATTGTTTGAAGGCAGAACCAATAGCTGAAGCTGACCAACACAAGCTTTTTGTGCAGATATAAGCATTTGTTTTGCAGAAGTCCTTCTTTGCAGTCCAGGCTATGGCCTGCCTAGCAGAAGGGGGCACCATTTTGTTCACTGTTCCAGAAACCAGTTTCAACCAGCTGATATACATGGAAACCACAACTGATTTCATGGAAAGAGATCTTTCTCCATAGGAAGAGAAATAAGGAGGCAGAGGCCCTCTTATATCATCTGCTGATAGGAGAGAATCCCCTTCACCTGAGCAACAAGGAGCTGGGGCACACAACAGAGCAACTCTGCTCTGAGGCAGGACAAAGACACAGAAGCAGATAAACATAAATAAGGTTTAGGCAGCTCAGGCCGTTTTTCTTGCCTCCCTGATGGCTGATGGCTCAGTTGCTTTCATGAACCTGGCCGTATAAGGGAAAGGGGCAAGAAGCACATCACTGAACAGTGGCAAAATGTGTGCTTGCTGGAAAGATGGACAAAGAAGTTCCTGGAGTATTTTGTCTTCTCTGAACAAGCTAGAGTTGCCATGACTGAGTCTTGAGGAACGGGTGTTTAATCTGCATGAGTCCAGATTTGTATTTATGGGACTGTGAAATTTTTAAACTGACCTGGAAGGAGAGAAGGTGACTTATCTTTAGTGATAATCTTGTGGAAAAGCTGTCCCTTGGATGCTTCTTGGCCATAAAGGTGGGATTTTTTCAAAGATGGGAAAGGCAGGCATCGCTGAGACTTAAGGAGCAAAAGAGCAAAGTGGAAAGGCAGCTAACTTGGGATAGGACAATGGGAAGCCCCTTTTAAAGCAGACATGAGAAGGTTTAATCTAGAAGCAAAAGGCACTGGAAAAAAAATAGTAGAATGGAGCTGGTGTATGTGCAAGATAAATAGAGGACAGAGGTCATATTTCACATATAGAAGGAAGAAAGCTGACAGAAGTTGGTGAGATTGAAGGAAAAGGGGACACAGCAGGAACATCCCTAAGAACAGAGTTCAAATGGAAATAGAGGTTTCGTCAGCTGCATCATCTTTAACCAGGGAAACATTAGAGAAACCTAGGCACAGAGAGACATGCACAGTCCCTTCCCAGGTAGGGGTGCAGGAGGCAGAGCCATACTAGCTCCCAGCAGGTACCATGAAAGGAGGAAGCATGCACATTCTGTACTGACAATCTTTACATGCATGATCAGAACAGTTACTGGTGTAGGATCCAGACTGTTCTTTCTCCCACTTATGCAAGAATCCAGAAGGTGGCAGAATTAGTAAGCAGGTGCTTTCCTTTATAGGAGAGATAAGTGTTGTCCAGGAAGATCTCTGCTGTTTGTCTTTTTCACATAGGGATCACCAGACTATAGGACAGAATCCTCCCCCCAGCAGGACATGCATACTGACAGGCACCTGAGGATTTGCTCTGCCTGCATCTGGGTTACTGAAGGGAAGAGCAGCACAAGAAGCGGTACACAGCTCTTTCTTGGCATCATCCATGCTGGGGTATCGGAGGAGTTAACCTTTGTGCAGCACAGATTACCATGAAGAAACTAGAGTTATTCCTGTGCTTGCCATTGGAACATCTGCTGCAACATTTCCTTCATAAGCAGCATTGCTTTCAGAACAAAAGGAAGAATTTTAGTTTCTTGGGAGCCCTGAGAAACTAACCTGTAGTGTGCTGAGACTGAGCACACTAAAAATGGTATTTCTCAGGAATAGGAATGGGATGAGAGACCTAAAGCAATATCCTCTGCTGCAGAGCACAGAACCCAGCCAGCCCAGAAGCAGTAACTGGCTGGAGCTGAGGATTCACAGCCAAACCTCCTCAAACCATAAATGCTAAGGCCTGGATATTAAACTTGGAGTGAGAGAGGAATATAACAGAATGGCCACAATTGTTCATTTGTGGATGTCAAAACATATCCTAAGCCAGAAGATGTTTTGGAAACCAGGTGTTTGTGAGCAAATCTGAGACAGCCAAGTCTCCTCTAGGGCCCCGATGTGTTGGCTGGACAACTTTATTTCTACCCTGAACTACTAATGCTACTTGTGAGCTACTGACAGTTGTTACTGAAACTGGATTCAAGTTTTAGAATGCTGAACGCCAGTGAAAAGTTGGTGCAGAATTTAGGAATGAGGATGGATGGGAGCACAAACTCATGTCAGCTGTCAGAATACTGATTAATACCACACTGTTTTCAGTGTCATGTTAACCTGGACGAGGACATATATATATTTTGCATGCAACTGTGTTTTAGCCAGCTGGTTTAGTAGCCACTGAAATAACTTACCTGAAAACACTTCCAGCAAAACACAGCTTTTAAAGACATACCTTTTATCTTTGCAGATCATTTGAAGAAGACTATGAGACAGATGAAGTCTTATCTCCCCCTGAAACTGGAGACAAGTCAGACAAACTAGTTGTTATCTCAGATCTCTCAGCATAGAGAAATGGAAGACATTTAATCAGTATCTTTCAAACTGGATAGTGTTCTGTCCCAAGACACTTAGGGATTTTTCTTGTCTGTCATTGGAGCAATGTGCTTTATTTTGTACACTGTAACTTAAGAAACCCTTTTTCTTTTCCTGTGTAATTGCAATAAGGTAATTTCTATAAAAAGGCTTTTTACAATGTGTTATCATGCACGCTCATTAAAAATGGTGATTGCACCTTTTTTCATTTATATATAAATCCTGTTGTGTCCCCAGATGTGCAATAAATGCCAGCATCAAATGATTAACTGTAATAACTGCATGCAGCATCTACAGTGGTTGTTTCCCACTTCAGTCCTCTGCCATTCTGTCCCTTTGACTTTATACCAGGAGTGACAGAAGAGCTGCCAAATTCACTTAGTATAAATGTATGTCTAGAAACCTTTTAAAACCAAGTCACAATGAAGTTCTCTTTCTTTCTTAGTGTCCTGGAAACCAAGGCAACATGCCTTCACGTGGGGAGAGGGAAGTCCCCTGATGTGCTTTAAACCACAAGCTCTTAGTGTTGATATTGGACATTATTTTACTTGTATGAATGTGTGGACAGTTAAAGCACTACATGATGTAATGTTTGTCTAAATATCAGAGATACAGATAACATTTCTACATATTCTCCTCTGCCTAAGAGGATTGTCCTCAGGCTAGTGTTTTGTCTCTGGAGAAGTATCTTGTAGTGTGTTTACAAAACAAGACATATGCTGCTCAGCTGGTGTGCTGAAACTGCCATGTCTTGTGTGCACCAGTTCCATCCGCTCCCTGTGTTCTCCTCCTCTCCTGTATTGCTAACCTGCAGCCTTCTCCAAGAGCCTAAGCTGAGATAGTGAAGAAAAAATCTAACCCTCATGTGCTATATTTCTGTCACCAGAGGGATCCTTTAACTAGTAAAAGAATTGGTCTGTAATACTTTCCACCCCGTCTCAGAGAGAAAACTAACTGATAAACTATTGCTTTAAGTGCAAAATTAACCTTACTTTCTTCATAGAATCACAACTGGTGGCTCTTGTAATAGCACATGCTCTGCTGCTGGAGATATTTCTCCTTGCTGACTAGCAGCTGTCTGTGATTCAGCACAGAGGTGATTATAACATATTTTTACCAGTTCTCAATTTTAGCCATCGTATACACACAAGCAGTATCTGGTACTTACCTTCTCCAGCTTTGGGACAGGTTTCAGCAGTCAAATTTTAACTGTCATAATTGTGCCCAAATATGTAATGCTTGGTTGGTATGTATACACTGTATTTCCTCTTACCTCACTGTAAGACGATCAGACCATGCCTCCTCAGGACATTGCCTCCAGAATACCCAGGAGACAACTGCCAATGCCATGATGAGTTCTTGAAGCAGGCACCTCCTTACTAAAGCCAGAAGCCATCCAGTTAATAGAGAACTTGTGTATACACACACAGACTATTAGCTGGGTGTGTTTAGAATAAACACACTAGCACAATGGAACACTAATCTGTAGATGATACCTCTGGGTGTTAATAACCAAATATGTAATTGGCTGATCACTACAATGCAGCTTTGAGTTTTCCAGGAGCCTTTGAAGCCCAACGCCTGCCTGCCAGTGCCCAGGTGGGATACACTGCTGCCTGGTGGAGGTTAGTGACTCTCCTCAGGATCAGATTCCAGAAAAGAGGAAAATTTCAGTTGTACTGAGTTTGGAGATGTTTTTCCTGAACAAAGCTACTGTTTTATCCAGAAGCATAAACACACCCCCAGGATCCTGGATTTGATACTTGGGAAACTTCTGGATGCCCAGGTTATTATGAAAGACACTGCAAGGTAACTTCCATTCCATAATAAAAGATGTAAGCAGGAGGGAGCACTCTAACCAAGCTAGGATAAGTCTCTACTAGGATAAACCTCTTTGAATGCAGCAAGCGCATGAGCAACTCTGTTCAACACCAGGATGCTGGAATCGCATCTCCATCATGACTATAAACTTGAGGGCAAAAGCTTTACTGAGGCTGATTCTATAAAGGCCCAAATGCAGAAGAAACTAAGTCACGACTTCAGAAATGAACATGGGATGGAAGTCATACAACTGCTAATTCTAACAAGCTCCATCCACGTTGTACCTGAAGGAACCCAGGCAAAGTAGTTCTTTGCTTTTCTTCACTGTCAAGGTCCAGAATGGCCTTTTAGTTTGGTAAAATTTTACACCTCTCCAAAGACAAAATTCCTCAAAGGAACAAGAACCTGACCCCATTCTAGGCTGAAATTGAACCTCCATGTTATGTCAGCATTGTTAGCTTTTAACTCTGTAAGCAGCAGTACTGGAATGTCCAGTTTGCAAATTATGTACAGCCTCAATCCAGAATAACTTGGTGATTGTCTCTAAGTTTTTAACCTGGGATAGCCCTTGTGCCTCAAAGAAAAGAAGCTCTCCTAATGCTGTTTTACAGATTAATAGATTAAGTCAGGTTGGAAGGGACCTCCATGTGCCTCTAGTCCACCTCCTCACTCAAAGACAGGCCAGCTTCAATGTTAGAACAAGTTTCTCAGGACCTCATCCAGCCAATTTCTGAAGATTCTCCAGAGATGGTGATCCTACAACCCTTCTGTGTATTACATTTCTTCCTCCTCCCTATGGGAGTTCAGAGATACATCCTTTTCCAGGAAGGACCTGTATTCCTGGGAATGCACAGTTCCATTTTCACACTAGGAAGAAGTGGGATGAAGGACTTGAGGACTCACCACTTGAGCAGATGACACCCTGTTCTCAAGCAGCAGATGTGTGCTGGGATGCAGACACAGCCCATGGTGGCCTGAAGAGCTGGTACCCCAACATCCTTTGGTGCATCACTCTCTCAGTTTGATGTTTCTGTTCCTGCTGGGTTGTGCCTCAAGCGCACTGCTGCTGTTCCTGCTCAGTCTGTTCACCCACCGCTTCAGGATACTTCGTCTTTCTCCTTGTACACCTTTTGCAGAGGGGCTTTACCTCAACCCATTCAAATCAGTTCAGCTCTCCATCTCACACCACACCAGTCTGCCTGAACTGGTGCCTTTTTTTGGAAGCAGCAGGTAAAAATTGCCAGTTACCTTGACTTCAGTCAATGCAGACAAGCCTGTAGCTGCTCTGCTGAGCTCTTTGGTCCCCAAACCCAGGGCCCTCTCTTCTACAAACAGAGGCTCAATGCTGCTATGACAAAGTGAAGTGATTCCAAACCCTGGTCATGCTTTGTACTACATCAACACAAAAAGCTAATCAAAGCAAAAAACCCCAAACCCATTTTAAGCAAATGTTTTACCTTAAATGTGACTATAAGGACAAGCTACAGCCACCACTGCTAGCGTGGTATCAGTGCAAAACTGGCAGCAATTCATATTATTTACTCCAAGAGCAGAAATCCATTCTCTCTCACTAATAACTTCGAAAATAACCACCATTCAGCAGCCACAGCTGAATTTAAGGAGATTCTACACCCCAATGGTGAGTTAGCCCTGTCCACAGCTTCTCTGGGTGGAAGGTTTCCAAGTCAGCAAGGTAAATTTGGGAGCTCCTGTCCTTTTCTTTCTGAGATAGTCCAGAAGAAGCTTCAGAGGTCAGCAAGCACTCCAGAATGAAGCAACCAAGGATCACCACACAGAAGCCTCGCAGGAGTCCGCTTCACTCTGAGTTTGCCTCCATCCCCAACTGCCAACACCACTTTAGATGTTGCATACTTTTAAAGACAGACAGATCATGCAGTGCTCACTGTAAACCAGCTCAAGCTGAAGGCTTAGGAGCTGGGTTCCTTTTTCCTTATGAGTAGCCAGAAAAGTGAGTAAAATTCAGTTTTGTGTGATAAGAACAAAACACCCTTTTGTTCAATTATTTCTCTCTAGTTTGCTTTTGCCTGGCAAAGTCCTGTGTCCTTACAAAACCCTTGCTCTTTATCTGTGTATTTGCAAGTATTTTGTCTGCAGTACTAAGATTGGAGATACAGCTCAATACAACCACAGCTCCTGCTGCAAAGGTACTAGCTTCATTTATTTTTCTTCTTCCAAAATCTCAGCAGTAACTGCTGCATGAGTTTTCCTCAGCAAACCTGGCACCGATACAGGTCCCCTCCTGCGGCCTGCCACCGAGCGGCAGTGCTGCAAAACAGACGTGGATAGCAAAAGAAATCCCAGTCAGGCTCCAGCCTACAGGAAACACTGCGGAAAACTTTCTTATCTCCTGAACTAAGGATTTAAGAATGGTGACTCGAGATATTCTCACCAAGCTACAGTGCTTAGCTTTGGAAACAAAATAGGCCTGCAAGGCCAAACAAAAGGCCACTAAAGTGTTGTTTTAATGGTGGCTTTGGAGGACAGCGTTTCTAAATCACAGTATCTTAGGTCTATGCAATCAAGAAAGAACCTCAGCAAAAGAGCATGAGCTACTGTAAGAAAAACATGCAAGCAGTGCTTACCCTTGTGTTCTGAGCTCTTCTCTCTGTCACTGGGTGATGGGTTTAGAGACAGAATATTTAATAATAAAGGTTCTCATACTTTGTAGAAGTAGTTTGGAGACATTTTGTGCTGGCGTGGTTTGAACTCTGTATTTTTACTTTGTATTTTCTTCTTTTTTGGCAAATAAAAGACTTTTGAATTTAAAGTGCAAGCCCTGCTCAGTGGCGGGGCAGCATTACTGTTCACTTCATCTCCAGCTGCTGTCCAGAATCACCTTCCCAGCTGTTGCTGAGCTCACACCATCCAGTTACCTGTCAGCAAGCCTGCCAAAGCCAAAATTCCAGGCTTGCTTAACAGAAATACTGGGCCAAAGCCGTGTGACCATTGTTAAGACCAAAGAAGCTGTGTTCACAACATTCTCAGTACCACTTTAAGTAATAGTGTGTACCTTTCAGAAGTTTCATCAGCTGTGCCACATACTTGGAATTATTCTAACATACAAAGCCACTCTTCTTGCCGTTTCACTTGTCAGATAGTTAGTAATCGAAAGAGTTTTTTTAATCAGTGTAATCTGTATAAACATTAATGTCAGGGAGGGGCTTCTTCCATCAGGTAAAAAGCAGCTTTTATTCTGGATCATGCCAGAATCCTTGCACAATTCATGTGCCACATCTGTATCATCTCTTCTTTGGAAATCTGTCAGTGTTCCATTGACCAGGCAGCTCCTTGCCCTGCTGTAAGTACCTGCATGAATGAACTACAGGAAGAGCAGCAAGGTCAACACAATCCAACTGTCACTTCCAGTTTTGTTCCCCCTCCCTCTGGGATTTAATCCCAACCAGTGATTTCAGTCATACGTGATTATGTGGAAACAGCCTTTCCACCCAAAATGAAAGCTTAGATGTCTTCTCTTTCTTGAACAAGCATCTTCCCCACGTACACATCAGGATGGGCAAAAGCACCAGACTAATTTGGTATCACTACACATGACCCTAAGTCCAGAAGGAGCTCTGTTCTTTGCAACACACTTTCAGGCAGGGAGCCTCCTGCAGCAAAATGTTTGATGAACTGCTTTTCCTTTCTGATGCAGCGCTACAAACTACAGGCTTTTCATAAAGTTTGCAAGTTAATCACTGTCTTTAAGCTGACTGGGAAGAAAGCTGAAGCATCACACACTTCCTATATGAAAAGAACCCCCCAAGCAGCTTCCTCTTACACTAACGCTGAGAACGGTTCCCAGCTCCAGAGCCCACAGGAGGAACACCCACCAGCCCAGCCTTAACTGGAGCTAAAATGCCCCTTGACTGCTCTCCAGGAGTGATTCCCAGCATACAGGCAGCAGGGGGCAAGTCCTTGCTGTGGGCTGCGTTGGGCTGAGTTTCCACTCAACTCTTTGACCACAGCCGAGGCTGGAAGATCCCACACAGTACTATTGCTATAAGCCAGAAACTAAAGTTTTTCAGAGTAGAACCACTGCAATTATTTCCACCAACATTCTTATCCTTTCCATTGCTCAGCTTATTCAAGAACAGTTAGCCAGGAGGTTAAGAAAACCAAACCAAGCCAACCCTAATTTAAACAATTACAGAATTAGTCATCAATGGACTAAGTGGTATTTAGACAGTAAGTTCAACATATGCCACACTGATGCCCTCAGCAGTTGCAAAATAGAATTAGAAAACTAACATTTATTAAATCAATTTGAATTTTAATATACATTTCAAGAACGTGGCAGCATAAAAGGAAATGTTTTTAGAAACAACCTGAATCTACCATTTGCAGTTTTACATTAACGATCAGGGCTCTCCTGTCCATGGTTCTAAAGCACACTTGACCTAAATTCTCCAACTTTTGGTACCACATTTAATGCAGCAGTGAGATAGTAAAGATTCCAAGTTCTCCCACATTTCTGGAGCAAAGGTACTATGTATTTCATTTAATGAAAGTCCTAATAAATGTACCATCAACAGTCTCAGCAAAACTTTAACAGCTCTGCAAAAGCATTCAGAAACAACCCACACTGTGCAGTTCACTCCCCTTAAATCAGACTCTGGTTCAGCTACTTTTCTTACATGTAGTGAACTAATAAACAGATTTACATTAGTAGGTCACCATCAAACCATCAAGTTAGAAAATGGCAGGATCCTTTTGGGTCAACACAAAAATCACATACAAGTTTAACTAAATACATTTTAATAGGACACTGTTAAATCTCATTCATGAGGGCTAAAAAACACAGATCCTGGGTACTTGGGTTGGCAAATAAAGACAAGAATACTAAGAAGCATTTTCCACCATTTACTCATTATCAAAAATATTTTTCAACTCTTCTTGCAAAACAAAAACAAAAAAAGTACAGACTGGACACGTACATCACATTTTTCTTCCTATGGCTTTAACCCCCCACCCTACCCACCCCACGAAAAAGACGGGGGGAGAAACAAACCAAAACCAACAAAAAGATCTGACCACATTCACAGAGAATGACACCACGGTACACTACAAAACAAAAGGAGGTGTCATTTGTGTCCAAAGGTTTTTGCTTATTTCTTAGGTGAGGAACCATCATTGTACATGCTTTGTGCCAAATCAAAAACACCTCACATTAGGTCAGAAAGCGCGTGGGGCTCACTGCATGAGTAAAAGCAAAGGTAGAAGCAGTAAAGTAACTCAAAAAATTCACATACTATTTAACATGCTGTCAAAACAGGAATTAGTTTTTAAATCAGAAGGTAATGTTTTGTATTCTAGTCAGCCCATGTGTTGTTTGTGCTGTATCATCCAAATAAGAGAAATTTCATGAAGGAAAATTACTTCTTTAGGCTGCCAACAAAGCCCTAAATTCAAGACTAAATTCTTCTGCTTGTACTTTTCTTATTCAGGGATTACACTGATATAAACTCCTGCATAAAGCTCAATTCCTACAAAGACACTCTCATTTTAACACTTCGACTTTGTGGAACTTTTCCCTTTTGGAGCTGTTTAGCCCATGTTGAAAAGCACTGACATTTGAAAGCTGCTTTCAACAAAAAATGAGATAGACTCTGGGCAGAGTGAGTTATTGTAGCTTGTTCTGTCTAATAAACATCCAAAATACTTGACCTCAGATAGCAGTGGATCCTCTGACCTAGCTGAGAGAAGATACCTGTCAGTGAAGACCTACCCTCAAGGGGATAGGTCCCAGACCTCTTACAGTACAAACTTCATCAGACATACAATGCTGCCACCCCACTGGGGATGACTGCTGTGGAAGTCTCCCTGTATCCCAGGCACTGAATGGTACTACTAAAACTTGAGCCTTCTTTGCGTACAAGTAATTTTCTCACCCCAGCTAAAGAGTCAGGAACATGACCTGTAGAACTGTCCAGAAAAAAGGATGATGTTCTTAAAGGGGACTCCCCATTCATATCTGGCCAACTGAGCTTCCTGGTCCTCCTCTGGAGCCTGAGCTGCTTTTTGGGCAACAAGCTTTCTCAATATATGTACTAATCTTGTTTTATTTTTAAGCTGTTCTACAGAGTAGATAAACCAATTCTCACACTCAGGCATTATCTACCCCTTTCAGACTGTATTCTCCAGCTCAGGGCTGTATATCCTACAGGAATACCAGGTTATTTTCTAGTCATGGTGACAGTAACTAATCAGTAATTATTTACACCATAATCTAGCACAGTTTAGATGGACTAACTAGATACCACTTTCTACATTTAAGCAGAAGCTTTGACTGAGCACAAAGCATGACCAAGTACAATGAGGTTAATATACTCCTTGCCAAAGATCTTGTGATAAAATCATTTACATCAGCAATTGATCTCAAACTATGAGGTGCTGTAAGAACTAAAAACAGTTTTAGGGTAACTCCTCCATTTTCTGCAACTATTTCCCAGACACTAATACACATAACATAGCAATGAAAAACACTTGATACAAGTGATCTAAACGCAGGAGCTCCAGCAAGTTAAACAGAACCATAGCTGCCTTAAAACTGTAGCAGTTCCCCTACTGATGGCAGGGAAAAGAAAGATTCAACAGTCATATCTCATGTCTATAGCTTCATCCAAACTTTTATCATCGTGTGTACTGGCAGCTAAAAACGTCGTTACTGGTGACCCTGTCACATTGATTACACTGGTGCTTGTGCTGGCATTGCGCACCGCAATGCTTGTCACATTAATGCCCAAAGTAAGCCTAGTCTGCTCCAAGGCCTTTTCTGGCACTGCAAATGCCTCCAGCTTCTTCTCCCCATTAGCCATGTATGAGTTTTGGCAGCCACGGCATATGCAGTCAAGGCAGGCTTTGCGGTTAGAATAGCAAGGGCAGCGTTGGCCACGGCATGTAAGAACACTTGGATTTTGGGTGGCACGACCACATTTACACCCTTTCTTTTCTTGTGGCTTTTTGTACACAGTTTTTGTTGGGCTTCCCGGCATAACGTTACTGCTAGGAACTTTCTCCTTTGCTTTGTCTTTTGTTTTCAGCACCCCTGGTTTGGCTTTCGGGTGAGATTTCTTAGGGGCATGTTCCAAATTCTTTTTCATGCTTTTGTTAGACAGGAGCACAGTTTTGCTTATTTTGGGAGTGGTGCCTCCATTAGGTACAGTTGCAATAGGCTGCAAAGACATTTTATTTTCCTGTTTCACTGTTACAGGAGCTGATGCTCCCAATGTTGGGCCGCAGATGATGCTGGAAATGGGTAGAGGTTGAACTTTCTCACTGTCACTTTCTGATCGAGACCGCTTTCTGTTTAATTTCACTACCTTGGGCGTCGCTGCTGTACAGGAGATCCCGTGAGGAGAAGCGTCTGTGGACATGAAAATGTTATGGCTAAGAGGAGGGGGAGAAAGCTGCAGGAAAGGGCCGTTAGTCATGTTTGCTTCCAAGCTGGGCTGCAAATTAGAATCACAGACTTCAGTATTTGAAACGGTCTCTAAGCTCCGGAGAACTTCCTCAACGCTAAGGAGAAGTGAGCCCCCTGGTTTTATGTCTTCACTGAAACTGCAGATGTCGATGCCTGTCGTACACAAGTCACTACTGGAAACTGTATCGCACACAGGCTGCAGGCTGCTGGAGATGTCCTCAGTTTTTATATACTCTCCAGTACTACAGAC